TCTGATGCTAGTTCCCTCGCTAGCTGGGTGTCGCCCACCTCAGCCCAACACAACAGTGATCTACACTTACGTCCATATAGTGCCTCGAAAGGAGCAACTTTGATGCTCGAATGGTAACTGTTGTTGTATGAGAATTCAACTAAGGGTAAGTGGGTATCCCAGGACTTCCCAAAGTCTATCACACATGCGCGAAGCATGTCTTCAAGCGTCTGAATGGTTCGTTCGCTTTGACCATCCGTTTGTGGGTGATAAGCAGTGCTCATGTCGAGATGGGTTCCCAATGCTTTCTGAAGTGATTGCCAAAAACGTGAAGGGAACCTACTATCTCTGTCTGAGATGATAGACACTGGCACTCCGTGAAGTCTCACGATTTCTCGAATGTATATTCTTGTCAATCTCTCCATCTTGTAGGATTCTTTTATTGGCAGGAAATGAGCGGATTTCGTCAGTCGGTCGACTATCACCCATATAGTGTCCAATCCATCTGACGACTTGGGTAGCTTGGTTACAAAATCTATAGTAATCCTTTCCCATTTCCACTCGGGAATTACTGGTTGCTGTAATAACCCCGAGGGCTTCTGGTATTCCACCTTTACTTTGGCGCAAGTAAGGCATTTGCTAACATAGGTGGCAATCTCTGCCTTCATGTTAGGCCACCAATAATGTTGTTTAATATTCAAGTACATTTTGTCCGAACCCGGATGGATGGAGTATCGCGTCTTGTGAGCTTCATTCATGACTACCTCCCTAAATCCTCCAAGTTTAAGGACCCAAATACGGTTCATGAAATAATATACTCCGCCCTCTTTCATCTCGAAATTCTTCTCCATTCCGCGTAAAGCTTCGCTTGTTTTGTTCTCCGCCTTCATGGCATCTGACTGGGCTACCCTGATTTGAGTGGTTAGGTGAGATTGGATGGTTATTGAGAGAGTTTTCAGACGACGATTAGAGTACTCTTTCCGACTCAAGGCATCAGCTACCACGTTAGCCTTGCCTGGGTGGTACTTGATTTCACACTCGTAATCGTTTAATAGTTCAACCCATCTTTGTTGCCTCATATTCAGCTCTTTTTTATTCAAGATGTGCTGGAGACTCTTGTGGTCCGTGAAGATGGTGCACTTCGTACCATAAAGGTAGTGCCTCCAAATCTTCAGGGCGAAGACCACTGCTCCCAATTCCAGATCGTGGGTTGTATAATTCACTTCGTGTGTCTTTAGTTGTCGGGACGCGTAAGCTATCACTTTTCCACGCTGCATGAGATCGCAACCTAAACCCTGATTTGACGCGTCATAGTAGACTACGAAATCTTCTGTTCCCTCCGGTAGTGATAGTACCGGGGCACTGCAGAGTGCTTGCTTCAGAGTTCGGAATGCAGCTTCTTGTATGTCCGTCCATTTGAATGGTACGCCCTTTTGTGTAAGCGAGGTAAGTGGCTTGGCGATCTTAGAGAAGTTTTGAATGAACCTCCTGTAGTAACCTGCTAGACCTAAGAATTGGCGAATTTCTGTGGGTGTTGTCGGGACTGCCCATCCTTCGATGGCTTGGACCTTAGAAGGATCCACATGTATTCCTTCCCGACTAACAACATGACCCAAAAAGTTCACGCTACGGAGCCAGAACTCACACTTGGAGAGTTTTGCGTATAGCTTCTCAGTTCGCAGGGTTTCCAGGATTTTTCGGAGATGTTGGCCATGCTCTTCTTCGCTTTGAGAATAAACGAGAATGTCGTCAATGAAAACAATAACAAAGTTGTCGAGCAATGGTCGGCAGATTCGATTCATTAGGTCCATGAATGCGGCAGGGGCATTCGTTAGACCGAAGGGCATTACGAAAAATTCATAATGTCTGTATCGAGTTCGGAAAGCGGTTTTGGGAATATCCTCTTCCCGGACCTTGAGTTGATGGTACCCGGATCGCAGATCTATCTTAGAGAAGTAACTAGCTCCTTGGAGCTGGTCAAATAGATCGTCGATTCGTGGGAGTGGATAGCGATTTTTGACAGTGAGCTTATTCAGTTCTCTATAATCGATGCACATCCTAAAAGTTTTGTCCTTCTTCTTGACAAAGAGGACTGGAGCTCCCCATGGCGAAAAGTTGGGTCGGATGAATCCCTTGTCCAGGAGTTCACTGAGTTGGCTGGACAATTCCTGCATTTCAGCAGGAGCCAATCGGTAAGGCAATTTAGCGATGGGAGTAGCTCCTGGCACTAGGTCAATTCGAAACTCAATTTGCCTTTCTGGGGGTACTCCAGGAAGATCTTCAGAAAAGATGTCTGGGAATTTGCAAGCTACAGGAATATCTAGAATGTTAATCTCTTCCTTGGATTTATCCACTATGTGCGCCAGGAACGTCAAATCTTTCTTTTGCAGATGCTTCTGTGCGTGGACGCACGAGATGAGACGAAGGTTCATGCTGGGTTTGTCTCCGTAAATAACTAGGGTTTCATGATTTGGAAGGTGAAGGCGAACGGCCTTCTCGCGACACATAATTTCAGCATGGTGGGGGCTTAACCAGTCCATGCCAATAATCACATCAAAACTCCTAATGGAAACAGGCATTAAGTTTATTTGAAAGACGTGTTGATTTAGGGTTAGGGTACACCCGATATAGATCTCCCCAGTAGATTCTGTTTTCCCATTGGCCATTTCCACCGTAAAGGTTTCATTGAGCTTCTGGGGTTGTTGTTTTAACAAATGCTTAAACTTATTGCTCACAAAACTTCGTTCTACTCCGGTATCAAATAGGATGCATGCATAAGTATGGTTTAGGAGAAACGTACCGGTAACGACAGCAGGATCCTGAACCGCTTCTCCCTGACCTATGGTCAGCACCCTTCCTGTTCCTCCATTTCCGGGATTATTGTTGTTGGGGCAATTTCGACGGAAATGCCCAGTCCTTCCACATCCATAGCAGGTGTGGCTTGGTCCTGCATTGTTGCCGCCAATGTCGGTGTTGTTGTTGTTGTTGCGATTATTGTTGTTGTTGTTTCCCTGTTGTTGGTTCTGAGGAGGGTAGGTTCTGCAATACTTTGTCGTGTGCCCCTTCCGATTGCAACTGGTTCACTGCATCTCCCTGCATTCTCCATTATGATGGAGACCGCACTTGTTGCACTTGGGAAGATTACCGGAATAAGGCCTAGGGGCACTTGGAGCAGCTGAGGCTGGAGCATGTGGTGCGGGTAGAACTTGAGTGGTTGCAGCATTAACTGCCACTGTTTGCTGCTTCTTGGATGATTCGGCGCCTTGACGTCCCTTCCTCTTATTGTTCTTTCCTTTTTTGTTGTCATTTTCTTTCTTAACTTCAGCCTCCACTGGCTTCTCACCCTTCCTGTTGTTGTGGTCATACAGCTTCTTGGCCAATCTCTTGGCACTGTCGAATGTTTCGGGATTTGCAGCTATCACGTTTCCTTGGATCGGGGGGGGGGGGGGGGGGGGTTAGTCCCCAGATGAATCGCTCGATCTTCTTTCCTTCTGAGGTGATCATGCCAGGGCATAGCAGAGATAGTTCGCTAAACCTGGATATGTATGCATCTATATCCGTGTTTCGGACGGTGAGATTCCACAGCTCTTGTTCCATTTTCTGAATTTCGCCACGAGGGCAGTATTCGGCCATCAGCATTTCTTTCATCTCTGCCCATGGCATGGAATTGGCTACGGGAAGTGTCATGGCTTCCACGTGTCCGTTCCACCAAGTGAGCTCTTAGTCAACAAGAGTGCATGCGGCAAATTTCACCTTCATCTCCTCAGGGAATTCACATATCTCGAACACCGATTCCACCTTCTCGATCCATCGTTTCAGGGTAATCATTCCTCCAGTGCCGTTAAAGGTTCATGGTTTGGCGTTGGTGAAGTCCTTGTAGGAACATGTCTTGGTAGGTCCTTGATTCATCCCGTTGTTCGAACTTTCAGCCCCTTGTCCGTTGAGTCCTCCATTGTTCCCTTGGTGTATTTGTGCCATAGCCGCGGTGACTGCAACCGATACCGCTGCCTGAAAAGCAACAGAGTTGAACTCGGGCGGGTTTGGCTCAGGGTTTCCGCGGGTTGGTCGTCGAGGCATCTTTCTGCCATGGAACGGAAAGATGTTGAGTGTCTGCGCTTTTTGTGAGATTGTGATCCTATAAGCTAGGTGTGTGGCACGAACTTAAGTAATTTCACAAAATTAGCACACAATCATGGATATGTAACACATAGCAGATTATAACATCACAGTAAAACATATAAAATTTTTCACTAATATTATCCGCACTTTGATACATGAAAATATTGCTCGAAAGAGCATACATAAGCGGTACAAGTTCGACAGCATAACGGCTCTATGAGTAGTGTAGTCACTTAAACATAGAGTCGGGGTACATAGCATAGATCCTAGTGACATAGTACTAAAGACTGATACAGCTGACCCTAGTCTCAATATTTTCAACGATTTGACAAAAAAACGATTTAACAAGAAACAAACGTAAAGAATTTCAATAGGATCTAACTAATTAGAGAAGGTTTCAATAACTCTTATGCTTAAAGAGTATCATACCATTAAATTTCTAACCAAAAAAATTATATATACACTAAAGTCTCATTATTTTCAACGATTTGACAAAAAAGTCATAAACTTTATTTTTTTGACAGTAAAGTCCTAATTGACGATTTGACAAAAAAGTCTTAAATTTTATTTTTTTTGACAAAAAAAATCCTAATTACCGGCTAACCGGGAAAAAAGGGTAAAAGTGTCAAAAACTGCCGTTAATTTGGACTTTACTGTCAAAAAAATAAAGTTTATGACTTTCTTGTCAAATCGATGAAAATAATTGGACTTTACTGTATATATCCCTATATATATTAACAAATATATCATAAACACTTTTAAATAGTTATTTTTTGTAAGCACTTTTAAATTGGCAAGACATTTTCCCGTAGCTTAATTTATAGTAGCGGGATGAAAAATGAAACAAGTGTACAAAGTAAAATCAAAACAATTAATTCGTGCACAATCGCAAGTAAGAGAAACTATGTTGGTTTAAACTCGATGCCTTCCACAATAAGCCCTTTAAGCGACTCATTTTCAGAAAGGGTCAATCGAAGATACTTGTTAATCTCATTAATTGTAGTACCAGTTTGAAATTCCCATACTTGTACTTCCAACCAACCATCATTCCTTTGTTGTGGACGACCTTTCCTTTTGGGTCTATCCAATGGGTTGTGGGGTTTTTTATGAACCTTCGGGGGTTGAGGCAAAAGTAAATAGATATACCATGGAATTGTATTGTAAGAATTACTAGTATCATCCGATTTATCACTAACTCTTACAGGAGGCTCAAATCCATAATGGTTTTCTTCCAACTTGTAAACAAGGTAAATTGCATATGTTGTTTGAGGTGACAACATTTTGGGTCTGCAGTCTATCCAAAAGCCGCCACGAGGACCAAAAGCCACTTTCCCAAATCTGCAAAAAGATATATCTTAGATTTAATAGTACTACTAGAATATGATAACATACCCGCATACTCATGCGAACTAAAGACTTACAAAGTTGTAGTTCATAAATTTTCTTAAAATAGAGAAACACAATAACCAATAGCTGCATGATTAATGCTTCTAACTTTAAAAACGTATGTTACAAACCCATTTTCTAGATTGAACATCCATGGTCAGTGAGTCACTAATCCTGTATTGTAAATTAGTAGGAGCTAGAGGAAAGAACCTCGAATCAGGTGATGACCTCCATTTCCAATCTCGTATTCCTAAAGCCATTCTTGCCGATAGCATATGACATTTCTTCCCATTTTTTTCAAGTGAAAACCACTGTCAATCAATAAATTTGTAAGTACTTGTAGCCGAATTCTAGAGTTTTTCCTTTTCAAGTGTCTATCAATATGTGAAGGAACTCAAAAATGATAGGAATTGAATGAATCATTCATATAAAAAATACCTCTTCACCATCATTGATTGGGAACCCTTTGCAAAGAATATAGTAGAGTTCCTTCTTTGTTGTCCATTGTAGACTATCTTTTGAACACTTGATGATGTCTTGATGATCACTTGGCAAATTTTTTTCCCAATTTGTGTCGGAATGTGATTTGGTTTGTATATCCACCTCCTTTTCTTCTAACACTTGATACTCCACCTACAAAACTTACACATTTTCATCGAATATGCAACATAACTCCTATTCTCCAAATGTGAGTGAGCTATAAACAAAATGATTTACTTTCTTCGAAATGTTTGAAACACTAGAAACAACATAAACTAAATGAAGTAAATGAATAAACTATTATATGTTGGCTTACTCTCTCCTGAGGCCGAAATTCGATGCCTTCTACTGCCAATGGTTTTTGGCATTCAAATGTAATTTCATGATCAACATTTCTCCTGTCGCTAGTAAACTGATACAATTCAGCCATCAGATGCCCATCTTCTCTCTTATGTGCAAAGTATGCAGTCGATGATTTTGTCTCCCCAGCCAATATGTAATCAACTCCTACATATTCCTTACTTTTCGAGCCAAGACTACACACAAGGTTTACTGTGTATGTGATATTTAGTGACAAAAATTGTGTTCTCACATGTGTTTTAAATTTAGAACAATACGGCATAGTGTAGACCTCTTTATATCTACAAAGAGTTGTAGCAAATAATGCATTAGTATATACTCATGAAATAGTCGGAACAAAACCTAGAAACAAAAGGGGGAACAACTTACATTGCTTTATCTCGATCATAATTAGCACGCACAGGAGGTACTACGTCAATAGGAATCAAACATTCTGCTGCAGGTATCATTTCGAGGTGATTTCCATTCTTATCTAACGAAAACCACTGTTCATTAAGTAGGATATGAGTACATAAGAAAAATAATCTAAAGGATCATATAGACATAGATAATTACCGTTTTGCCCCCATTGACGAAGATTCCTTCGGAGAGAAGCAACTTTAGTTCCTCTTTGGATCTGTAGAGCAAAGGAGGTGCCGCAGTTTTACTCATATCTTCATAGTCGAATGGTTGTTCCACCTCTTCGGAAATCTCCTGAAACCAAAGTGCAATCACAAGTTTTTCCACAACATGAGACATCTTTGGTCGTTTTTCACGAGATTTCTGCAAACATCGATAGGCAATGTCTGAAAATGTTTCCAATGACCTCATACCAATGTGATGTTTTAGATCTTCAAAGATGATTTCATCTAACTTTTTTTGTTTGAAACTCTTTTTCCACATTGGCACTAAACTCTGAAAATGATTATTGTTATTTTCAAAACATAGTCTCCCACACAACACTTCAAACAAGACCACGCCAAAAGAATATACATCTGACTCTTTAGTTAGGATGCTCATCTCCACACACATCGGATCTACATATCCAAACGTACCAACAGCATTGGACACTAGAAATGTGTGTTTCTGATTTGCAGGTCCAATTTTCGACAATCCCATGTCAGAAATTTTAGCATTCCAATTCTCATCCAGTAAGATGTTGGAACTTTTAATATCACGATGTAGAACTCTTTCTCGTGTCTCCTTGGGATCATGAAGGTAGCACAATCCGGTCGCAGCCCCAAGGCATATTTTGAGACGATGACTCCATGTGAGAGTAGTGTTGCTTAAATGACGATCAAGGCTTCCATGATATGCATGCTCGTATCCCAGGATCTTCTCACCATCTTCGTCACAAAATCCCAAGAGAGATATGAGATTTTCATGTGTGTAACGAGAAAGCATCAGGATCTCTTTCCAGAACTCAGGGTCACCTTGCCCATAGTTACGATCTAGACGCTTAAAAGCAACCATGCTTTGTCCCTTAGGGAGAGAGAGTACTCCTTTGTACACCTTCCCAAATCCACCTCTCCCAATTATGTTGCTGTCATCAAAGTTTCCGGTGGCTGACTTTACCTCTTTGAGTTGGATTTTAAGATGTTGAAACTCGTCCAAGAATGCCTCCATTAATTATTTGTTGAGAAAATGGTAACTAGAACATTCAACTCGGTGTGTTGAAAGCAATTGCAAGTACTTGGACGGAATTATGATATACCTGCTGAAATTGGAAGAGATGCCTTTTGTGTGGATGAGATTCATGAGATATCCTGATCATACATTATTGCATAAAATATATTATTTTATAGTAAATTTGCTGGCAGGTCCGTTTATTTGACTTTAACTTTTTTTTGGAGTTAATACGGTCAATAGTCAACATTAATCTACCAGCATTTTTTTGTGTTAATGGGCTCGAAAATTGTCTAAAATGTTTTCAAATGGTTACATTTTTTTTAAAAACATTCATGTTATCAATGTATAGTATTAAATATATATTATTAATGTAATAAGTTTTGTAATCTTGCTTTTAAAAAAAATCTAGCTTTTCAATTTTAACATAATAACACAATTTATTAGAATATTTTAGCATTACATTGACCACCAACACCTCCAAATTAATTGTATCATGTACCTACACACGACATTAAAATCAAACACCCACCACATCAAAATCAAACATGTATCGGTTGGTTGCTAGCGAGAATCCAGGCCCCACATCACCATTAATCCATTCTCAGTAAGAACATCATGATGATTTATTTGAAAAGTCCAAGTAAAAGAGTTTTTCCATTCGACCAATCCAAGAAATGATGACTCTAGTCAACTGCTTCCAAGACAAATAATCAAGAAGTTCTAGTTTTGGACAATTGAGTAACCATGGTGGGATTTGGTCTTTGAGGGCACAATTCGTGATTGCAAAAACCATTAATCTGTCAAACTCGTTTACAAATTATGGGAGTTCTTCACATTGAAAGTTTTTTGTTAGAATCAAGGTGGTGACATTATTGCATTGTTGTAGAACGGAAAAGGCCTAAGGTAAATTCATGATTTCGTTGTTTGAAAATCTGCTCCCGAACAAAGGTAACGATTCGAGGTTGGAAAGCTTAATGAAGTGAAAGCCCCAAATCAAAGCGCTAACAAATCACATGAAACGGATTCAAAGAGCTTTAAGCATGTCATCTGAAACACTTGAAGTGAAAGCCCCGCCTTCTTCAAGATTCAATAACTTCACAACACCATCTTCAACTAGCATCACATACCTCCTTGATCTAACCTCTAATCCAATCGGCTTATCGCTCAAATCTAATTCACACCTAATTGCCTTCGCGAAATCCCCTTTTCCATCCCTCAATAGCGGCACTTCATCGCTGATGTTCAAATCAGCCTTCCATGCCTTCATCACGAAGGCATCGTTAACTGAAATACAAGTGATTGTGTCGACGCCCTTTGATTTTAGTTCGTTGGATTTCTCGACGAATTTGGGGAGGTGTTTCTAGGAGCAAGTGGGTGTGAATGTGTCGGGGACGACAAAGACGATGGCTTTTTGGATTTGGTGAGATCGATATCGTGGTGGTTTGAAGTTTGTCATCGGAGTCGAAGTAGGATAAGGTTATGTCGGGGAGTTTATCCCCAATGGAGATAGTGGCGGTGATTTTGGTGTGGCGGAGTATCTAGTGGCGTGACCAGTGGGTGAGGTGTAAGGGAGAGATGGAGGAAGAGAATATGAGAGAGCGGTGGTTGGCATGGAGGAAGAGAATGTGAAAAAAAGGTCTCGTGTTTTTTAGATAGATAAGGACTATTTGTTTGTAAAAGACAAAGGGTATCTTCGTCATTTCACATACAATTAACAAGATTTGTTTACAAGGTGACCACTAGGTTATAACCCGTAGAAACCACGGTAGGTAAGTTAAAAATTTTATATAGACCAAAAAATTAATAATTGTAAAAAAAAGCATTTGATTCTGGATGGTAAATGACTACAATTTTATTTGATAAGTAAAATAAACATAACACTTTAACATAGATTTTGAAAGAGAAATTAAATATCCTCCTACTTTTATTCTTACAAATCCTCCTACCAAATTAAATAATGACATTTGTCATTTTAGTATACTTAAATATCATTAAATGAGCATTAAATGTGACACATGTCCTCATTTAATTGAGTAGAAAGATTTGTAGGAACAAATAGTAGGAGGATATTTAATTTCTCATTTTGAAATACTTTCTTGAACGCAACATTGAAAGTTTTATTAGTCAAATTACCATCCTTATCTAAAATCAATAACTTCAATCCTTCTCTGTTCTTTACTCCGGATAAAGTAACATATTGTGAGAAAAACGGTTCTCGCAAAAACAACCTAACATTATTCAACGATTGGCCCTGACTTTTATTTAGTCATAGCGAAACAAACCGATAGGGGAAATTGTCTCATATTGAACTTGTAAGGAATTTTGTTGTCTGAAGGTGTTAAAGACAACCTTGAAATAAAAACTCGATGTTCAATGTTCCTTCCAGTTAAGACCAATATTTCTATGACACGATTACCCAATGACACCACCTGAAATCTAGAAAATTATAGCAAAATATTGATAAAAAATTAGTTGTAAGAAAAATGCACCGTAATCTTGATCATAAGTAATGTTTAATTAATTTGATAAGTAAAATAAACATAACACTTAGATTTTGAAATAGTTCTTTGTACACAACATTAAAAGCTTTATTAATCAAATTATCATCGTTATATTGTATATATTGTACCGAAAAGTTTAAAAGATATATATCTTAAGCATAATATGTTATAAAGCGGTAGTGAAAATTTATTTATCTGTTGTCTTTGTAGACATTTTTAAATAATAATTATGTAGTTAAAAAGAGAATAAATATATAATTATATCTCTGTGAGGAATGACATTTGAAATTTAAAAAAGAAACAATATATTATAATTAAAATAAGGAAATTTTTGATATATATTATTATGAAAATTACATACATATATATATATATATATATATATATATATATATATATAAAAGAATTATTTTGTAAGCAATAACAAAAAGATATAGATTATATATTTTAATATGTACAAATTGCCTTGGGTATAATAGAAATAGTAATAATAAAAATAGTAACTTCGAGTCCATAAAACAAAAAATTCATATAACATTATTCGCAATATTTTTTGGTATTTTTGTTAATTACAATGTTATTTATATATCATATTCAAAATTAGTTTCATATAGTGAGCAATGATCATTAATACGATTAAGAAAAATATTATGAAATTAAAATTACACACACACATATATATATATATATATATATATATATATATATATATATATATATATATATATATAGGTTCAGGTTCATTTGAGACCATTCTAATTTTGTGAGACCGTGAGACCAAATCTAAAAATAATTTTAAAATGCAAAATAAATAGAAAAATCCAAAAATTCTTTTTTTAAATATTATTTTCGGAACTTGAATTAACTAAAATAAATAAAAATAAATAAAAAAAATCCCGTTTTTTTTAAAATACATGAAATATTCTAATAGAATATTACACTGTACATATTTTAAAAAATAATTTTAAAATGCAAAATAAATGGAAAAATCTAAAAATTCTTTTTTTAAATATTATTTTCGGAACTTGAATTAACTAAAAAAAAATAAAAAAAAATCCCGTTTTTTTTTTAAAATACGTGAAATATTCTAATAAAATATTACACTGTACATATTCTAAAAAATAATTTTAAAATGCAAAATAAATGGAAAAATCCAAAAATTCTTTTTTTAAATATTATTTTCGGAACCTGAATTAACTAAAAAAATAAAATAAAATAAAATAAAATAAAATAAATGCATCTCACGGTCTCACAAAATTAGGCTGTCTCAAATGAACCTAACTATAGATATATAGATATATATATATATATATATATATATATATATATATATATATATATATATATATATCGGGTTAGGTTATTTTGTTTTCACTATCTATTATGTGCATGTATGATTGATTCTGGACCAATCATTTAGTTATATTAAGAAAATAATTAATGCATATTACATGTTGAAGATATAATGGATATTAATTACATCTTCAGCATTTAATATGCATTAATTATTTTCTTAAAATAACTAAATGATTGGTTCAGAATTAATCATACATGCACATAATATATATATATATATATATATATATATATATATATATATATATATATATATATATATATATATATATATATATATATATAAACGTATATATAAAATCTACTATTTATATATATTTATTGTAAATTACATTTCCCTAAATAAGTTTAACCCTAAAAACATTCATTCTTCCGGCAGATATTCTAGACTCTATCGTTTCTATTTTTTTTTCTTCCTGAAATCGCATACACCAATTGTTGTGTTCGATTTCTACATTTCAATGTACTGATCTCTTGTAATCGGAGATTTCATCGACTTCGTAGCGGCCTTACAGTGTAGCCACCCCACTACCACAATTTCTTAATAGCATAATCGGGAATAAATATATGTTTGAAATCCAAAATCGAAAGGAATACAAATCCAATTTCGTAATAGTTAGTAGAGCAGAAAGATACCTGGAAAGCGATTTCAGTCTGTTGCTAAAGTTATGAAGAAAAAATGGCGTCCTTGTGGTCTGATTTTGGAATATGTTGGCTGTTGGATTTCAACGATGAAGATATGGCGACGATGAAAAAGAGGTAAAATTACTAATTTCGTTTTTGTAGAAGATGAGATTCAACGTACTCCCTGTATTTATTATTTGAATTTTGATTGTATTTCAAAATTAAATCTTGAATTGTTATTGTTTAAGTGTGAAATTTTGAAAGTTATGCTTCTGAAGTTTCATTTTCGTTCATACATTCTCGCTTGTTCTCTTAAATCTATGTATTATTTTCAAATAATGAGATTTTAATGTTGGTGCCTACAACAATGAACATATGATGGGAGTGTAAAATTAGGTTTCCTATTCTCAAAATATGTGAATGAAAATTGTTATGTTTTGGTGTAAGCTTGCTAAGATAAGTAACAAATTAGTGTATTAGGCAAAATTTTAGTGGTATTTTGGTTGAGAAATTATATGTAATATGTATGAAATGAAAAAGTTGGTTATTTGATTATATGTGTGTAAGCATATTGAGGAAAGTGGAATGTTGTGTAGGAGACAGGGGAATTGAAAAAAAAAATTATTATATTTATATGAAAGTGGAATGCTATAAGAGACATACAGTTGAAAGAACATTAATATTTTAAGGAATACAAATTAAAATAGTAAAAGTAAAATGTGCTCAATATAGCAAGATTTTTTTTTTCTTTGATTTGAACATGTGTTTGTGTGTTTGTAAGATGTAATGAAAGTCTATTGCAATTAGAAAGTATATGAACAAAAAATTAAAAGAAACAATTAAATTACATTGTAATATATTTTTTGATATTTTGATAGCATTGTATATTCATACTTTTTTTATATATAAAAAAAACACGTTTACAAATGTATGTTTTGTTATTGTAGCAGCAAATCTCCATAATCATAAAGCATGATGGTGTTTATTGAGTCGAGTGTTGAAGAGTATGTTGCATTCAACAATAGCTTAGAGAATCTCACATGATTTATTTTCACATCTTATGAAAGGTATGTCATTTCCACAAATATATTAAAATCCATCAATCCAGCATAATAAACAATTATATTATTAAAAGTACAATGGTATACTTAGTATTTAAAGAAACTGCATGAATTATTAATAACTTAATGGAAAAACAAAAGAAAACCATACGCAAGATTACCAATTCATCATATAAAACCATTATTTTTTAACATTTGGTGTCAAAACCTTCATCTTCTCTTCATTTTTTGTTGAAATACACAATGATTTTGTTACATTTATGACATCAAAAACTATCAAACTTACAGTTTTCTTTTTAAAAGTACAATATAAAAGGGCATATTTGTCATTTTTTATAATATAAAAGGGCATAGTTGTCATTTTCTAATATAAAAGGGCAGAATTGTCATTTATAATATAAAGGGGCAGAATTACCATTTTCTACCTAAATGATAAGTTAATTTATATTTAACAGTAAAAACATAATCAAAAAATATATAACCGATGGAAATTGATAAATGACAGTATTTCTATTAAAATGACATATTTGTCACTTTTATAATATAAAAGGGCACAGTTGTCATTTTGTAATATAAAAGGGCAGAATTGCATTTTCTACCTAAATGATAGCTTCAATTTATATATGACAGTAAAAAACATAATAAAAAATATAGCCGACAAAAAATAAACAATTGCACTTTTTCTATTAAAAGGGCATATTTGTCATTTTTATAATATAAAAGGGCATAGTTGTCATTTTCTAATATAAAAGGGTGGAGTTGTCATTTTCTAATATAAAAGGGCAGAATTGTAAATATTGTTATGTTTTGGTAAAAAAATTA